CAAAGGCGCAAAAATTAAATCAAAGAAAATTCGGATATAGTAAAATAGAAAGAGTAAAAATAAACCCGACGAAACAGAAAAGAAAAACCAACAGACCCAATTGATCTAATAAGCCAAGAACGCGGCGCTCACTTATTTGTGAATAACATCAGCAGCGAATTCTTTTATTTCGCGCTTGTTCATGCCACCGAGGCAAAAAGCAACAACAATAGAACATTTCGCGGGCGGGCTTCCCTCGCGGCAGAAAATACGGAGAAAACGATTTCGCTCAATGCCCGCGACCGTGTCTGTGGCAACGTCAGAGGCAGAGGCAGAGCAGAGGCAGGGCTTGTTTGAGTTTCGTGGAACGAAACAGTGAGCGCCATATGTCTGCCGTTTGGACCTGTGGTAGGGGGCTCTTTCGTGCAGCCAGACAGAGATGGGGAGAAGCATAAGAACAGGAACGCACACATAGACACACTCACACAGTGACAGCATCGACGCGCAACAGCCGACGACTTGGCGACGCCAAGGCACTTGCTGTGGTTGTTGTTGCTGTCGTTATTGTTAATCATATGAACAGGGCCGGTTCAGATCGGGCGCGGTTAACCGAGAGGAATTTCAGCTGATTGGATGATGCACTGAATGCAAAGTCAAGCACAAACCGGAATAACTATAAATTTAAACAATGAGGGCCCATAATATCTAATGAGTAAAACTACACGGAATCATAAGCTAGCTGTTAAAGTCTTTTTTCAAATGTATTGCCCAGACTACACACACTTGGGCGCCCAAGGGTTACTCTGCACGCCCGGCAGGTCTGACACCGACGCTGACGCTCTTCGTCTGCCATTCCACGATCATACTTTGCGCTGTTAGGTTGGCTTCGCTTCGTGTGTTCGTGCTCGTGACGATGAAACGGAATAAATAACGCAAAGCAAAACCGCTAGCCTCTCGAAGCGAACATAAACAAAAGGCAAAGAAACCACAAAAGAACGGAATACGCGAATAGTCAGTGAGTCTGTAGTGTGTGCGTGTGTATATATGTGGGCGAAGTGCGAGTGCAGCCGTCGCCACAACAAGTTTTGTATTAATCAAATTAGATCATAGGCAAAAGAACACCTCAAGCACAGTGAGCATTCAAAGGTTACGGCAGAAGCGAATGTCATGATATGCTAATTGAGTGCGCTGTGAATCGAAGTGGTCGAAATCCAAAAATCAAAGTGCAAAAATCGCCGTCGAGAGAAGAGTTTTCTGCGCGCCAAATAGCGTGGGGCGGATATAATTTTAATTCCAAAAACGGCACAGAAATATCGTGAGTGAGTGTCAAAGAATTAGAGTGGAGTGGAGTGTGGAAGGAATTCCAAGAAAAACTGTGAAAATTCAAAATAAACAAAGTCAGAAACGGTCAAGAAGCAGCAGACATCTTAAGAGGGGAAAACAAAGAGAGCGGCAGAGCAGGAGAACAAGCAGAACCAACAACAGCAATACACACATACTTTGGGCATTCCCGCGGCCGGGCCGCTGTGTGTGTGTCAGATTTGTGTGGATGTGTACATGTTAGTTGGAACCAATGTGTGCGGGTGAGTGTGAACAGCGCAGGCATAGAGATAATCTCGGCATAAGTGAGTTCATGTGTGTGTGCGAGTGAGCAAGCATTTGTCATGCTGAGTTGCAGGCAGAGGCAGCAATAAGAGGGCAGCGCATTGGACTTGAACTACTTTGAGGCGTTTACCTGCACTAAAAAGGAACGCAACGTAAATTAAGCCGGCGCCAGGATACCTGCCGCAGTCAAGCCAGCAGCAGCAGCGGCATCGGAATCGGAATCAGCGTTCGTGCAGAGCGACACAAAAGGCTTGCAACGTCATTCCCATTGCAACAACAACAAGAGTGAGAGTAAGAACAAACAATGGGCGTATGAAAGGTGGAAATCCACTTAGGAGGCACACAAAAGCCGCCACACCAGTGGGGGGTTCTCTCTCTCTCTGAGTGTGTGTGTCTGTAGATGGAATTCGTGTCTCTGTATCTCATCCCCTGACAGTTTATGGGCACTCTCAAGTGTGGTACGAACAATTAAACATGCAACAGTTATCATACGTTCCGCTTATGTTCGTGTGTTTCGTGTTTCGCTCTCTCTTTGTGTGAGTGTGTGTTGAGGAATGCCCTCCATGGCAAATGACGACACATGTTTATCGGCTGCTGACGCTTAGAGGCAACCCCCGAAGAGCATGGCATGCCCTGACCTTGACAACAGAAAGAGCAGCAACAGATACAAATACACTTTTGTTTGTGGTATACGGGGGCGCAGGCGGAGATGCCATAAGCCACAAAATCAATTGATATTTTCTCACCACAAGCGTCTGCTTTTAAATTTCCATCGAATCTCCACAACATCCCAATCTCATCCGATTCTCCTCCCCTGCTGCTGCCTCTACTGGCTCTCTGTTTCCTCTTCTTCACACCTGCTTGTGGGGGCAGACGACCGCAGAGGGCCTACGTAAGCTCTTTGAATATTTCAAACTTTCAATATGCCCTCTCTCTGCAGAGGGTGTTCTGATTTACACTGCCTTCGGGAACATAAAACATTAAACCTTTTATAGCTAAGCGAAATCATATTATGGTCTACCCTAACTATAGAAACAAACAATCTGCAAGGGTATCAAATGCTTCGGCGCAACTCTGCCTAATCTTCTCCCCTTGTGTTTATTTATGAATATTGTGTGGCTTTTTTCTGTTTTTGTCTTTAATATTTGCTAATATGCAAAAATTCCCAAATGCCGCCAACGTATTTCCGTCCTTCAGCTGCCAGAAAAATGCCAAGACAAGCGGAAAAAAAGAAGAACAGCAAAATCTGTGAAAAATTTATTTTAAACTGTGTTTTAGATTTTTGTACATTTTTGTTTTGCGCTTGAACGCACGATTTGGTGCCAACGATTCTTCTCCGTTCTCTGCGTTCTCTAATTGTTTGTTTTGACAGAGATGAAATATATAGAAAACATTTAATTGGACCCCGAGAGACAGGCAGAGAGACCCCCACAACGTGACATTAAATTAAAACTTTCATTAACTTTTTTTTTGTATTTGTACGGGGTCATAAAAATGCGGAATCGAACGAATTTTTTGCCAAATGAAAATGATAAAGATTATTAGGGGACAGGCAGATCCATTGCATAAGACCAATTCGATTCTATGTGAAATTTCCATTTTATACCAATAAATTAAATACAAATAGATGAGTTGATTTCTAACACAAAATGTGCTAACGCAAAAGGCCAATAACTGAAACTAAAAATATATGTATAAGTATGCGAGTATATACAAAACGACACATGCCATACGTCCGTCCATATGTACACATGTACACCCATTTATACGGATGTGTGGATGTTTTGAGCTGTCTACTTGTCTGCTGTCTAAAATAAAACACTTGAATGTCGTCTTACGTAGTTGGAGAATTTAAAAATACATTTCTAGCGCAGCGCCAAAAGAAAATACAAAATCAGTGAAAATCAAATTCTGGCAAAAGTCGAAGACAGAACGAAAAACAAAACAAAAAATTATCGAATGACTTTGTGTGCTTTCCTCGGATTTTCTTCTTTTTTTGTGTGTAAACAAAAATGAAAATTGCGGGACTGGCAATTATTTAACACTTTTCGGCTACGAACTCTTCTATATTTATAAAAATGTACAGTTTTCATTCCACGATTTACATACATTTTTGAACGAGGATTTAATATTTTCATTGAACTTGATTAATATTTGGCTCTTGAATGGCTCTTAGAAGATATTTACCTCATAAATAATATAATTCTGCAAATATTCCTTTGGGGGAACCTTTGACCTTTCTCAGACTATATCTTTATCTGTTTGATTTGAAATTGTATAGACAAAATAGTTCAGAAACGCGCCGCAATTCTTGAAATTATTTATTTAATCCACAATTTGCTTTTTCCCCCATTTCAACACTTAATTGTTGCCATAAATTTCAGAAAACTGCAGGCCCCGAAATACCAATCTATTAATCTATATGGGGGAAAGCTCCTAAAAGTACTATATACCTTATAACATTCAATTCGGTTCTGCTGTGCTGTGCCAAAAACAAATATTTGTTTATATAGATCTGATCTATGCATATGTAAAGTAAACCCAGGGAACCTTGGCACTCACAAAGAATACAGAATTGTACATATGTACATATGTATGTACATACACATATATAAACGGAATACGATTTTCCGCAAAAGAAATTTTACAGAATATCTTTGGCTGACGTCAAACATATTCGGGAATTTCCGTGCCAAAAGATTATTTTCCCTAGAATTTTGTTTTGTTTGCTTAATTATCCAAAAGTCAGCTTAGTCATCCGGTGGTGATGATGGTGAACGCTTTGGATCTCCTGCTAAGATGATAATAGAGTGAATGATGAATGCAAACAGTATAAATCATTAGCAATAAAGATTGGAACGGGTGCTAGAGCACTCCAACCCCAACAATATTTGTCACCTGACTGCCCTCGTCCATTTACTTATAGTAGGTGTTTATGTCGAATGTACTACCATCTATCTATCTTATCTGTTTATCAGTCAGTAAAGCCGTACCTTGACCTTTTACTCTTGACAAAGAAGCCAGAGAGTCGGTTGGTCCCCATGATAACGCCCCAAATCTCGAATCTATTTCAACACCAAAACGAAAGTTGGCCTCTGCTCCGCGATTAGCCAAAAAGTCGAACGTCTGAAGAATTTGGGGAAATCATTATCGAAATTCTCCCTTCAATTTATCTTTCTATTTATTCGGAATTTCGTGTTTTGGGTATATTTTGCTAAGCAATGTTTATAGAAACATGTTTATATAAACAAATGCGAAAATGGATCCATATGGGGAGAACGCTTTGTCTGGCCTTATCATTCACACACACAAATCAATGTGTGCTTGTGATCTTTAGAGGGTACGAAGGCTATAGCGTTTAATCTCTTTTCGTCAATTACAAAATATTAAAAGTAGATTCTTAAATCTTTACTTACAGTTTTGTGTATGTACTGTGTACATATTTCCCAATCATTACAAGGTATCTTATGGTCGACACTTTTCGTGCCCCTTTGTAAGAGATAAGTGCACGACTCACGAAACTCACGACCGCTCGCGCGCGCTCTTTAATCGCCTTAATTTCATTTCATACAACACTTTACAAACGGTCGAGTGGATGCGGTACGTCATAGCCCCCCCTACACACAGCCACCACAGCTGCAAGAAGGAGAGAGAGAGAGACGAAGTAAACCGCTTATCAAGCGCTCTAGAAAGCTCCTCTTCTCTGCTTTAATATAAAAAGTTTTGTGGCTTTGCTGCCTGTCTGCTTTTGTGTTGAGTGTATTATCGCTGTTGCGTTCAAGAAAAAGACGATGAAGACAACGACGCAGACGAAGACGAGGAGGAAAGAAAACAAGTAGCTGCAAGCGCGCACAAGCACCGAGGGGGGACCCTAACCCACACACATGCATACACCGCCAGTCACAGAAGACAGAGACGGAAACATTTTGTGGCTCAACAAGCTAAACTCGTTTTCAGCCACAACATCGGGGCAAATTATTAAAATTTTTAACTTGATTCATGCTCATGCCACTCGCACACAGGCTCACACAAGCACACTCATACGCATACACTAATGTAAACATGTATTCAGCAACAAACGGCGATATGGCGGGTTTCCTCGTTTCTTATGAATTGACTCAATATAATACACAAGAGCAGAGCAGACCATCGAAGAGGTCGGTCGGGGGATGGAGAAGAGGGGCAGACAGCAAAGCAGCGACCGAACCGATCCGAACTGAACCGAAGAGACCGACCGACAGTGTTTTCAAGTTAGTCATGTTGTTCGTATGCGAGTCAGGGAGTGAGTGTGAGTGAGAGAACAAACAGGCTGGGCCACATGGCAAATCGTGCTCCACTCGTGGAGGTTTGTTGTTGTGGCAGTGGAATGGGGAAGGGGAGCAGCGTATCATTCGTATTTCTTGCTCGTGTGTATAGACAGCTGCGGCAACTCTAGCTGGGGGCTCTCTTTCTCCCTCTCTCTTTCTCTCTCTCTCTCTCTCTCTCTCTTGATCAGTGCCTTGCATTGTTGTATGTGTAGCAATTATTATTTTATTATCACTTTTTTATTTTCATTGCTACGTTTTGTGCTGTTGCTTCTACGTTTTAAATGCTTTTGTTGTTATCGTATCGTTGCTGTTGCTGTCGCTGCTGCCGTTGCCGTTGCCGTTGCCTGGTGCTCCCCAGACCTTCCTTAGTCAGCAATATTTCGCATATTCATGGGAATGGTTTTCGGGAGGGGTGAGGTTGGGTATGTCGCTGGGGATGTGATGTGCACTGGTATGTGTGCGCGTGTTTATAAAGCTCTCGACGAGTTTTGAGTGTATGCGAGTGTTGTACGTAATCAACAATAGCGGCAACGGCTGACTGGCGGCTGGCGACAGTCATATACCCCACTTCACGTCACCTGTTGGGGGGGGGGGCCTACGTTTTTGCCCGATTTGATCATTTCTCAGCGCAAGCAGCGACGGAGCAGCAGAAGCAGCAGCAGCTAAATCAGAAGCAGCGACGACCCTGTGCTGTGCTTGCTTTTGATTGACAATTGCACTGTGTGTGTGTGCGTGTGAGTGTGAGTGAGTGCGAATGAGTGTTTACTGTGAAGATGGGAGAGCAGAGAGATCGTGGATCGTTGAATCGTGTTTTACCGGGAGGAGGGAAGAGCAAGGGTTGCCGCAATTATTTGATTATTGTACGTTTTTTTTCTGTTGCTTTGCTTCTGCTTACGTCGTTGCCGCCACCAGTGGTTGTGCTTTTTGTTTTTGCACTGCTCGGCGGCGGGGTCGCTTCTTCGTTTTCTTTTTGCACACTCACTGAATGAATTTTGCCGCTTGCCTCGTCTAGTCGTAGTCGCCTTAAATGTTTCAGGCGATTCGGTCGTTGTCGTTGTCGCTTGTAGCCCGCCTGTTGTCGACACGCGCGTGCTCCACCGTTCCGACTATTGTTGGACCGTTTTTTCTAGCTTTACGTTTCATTTGTTGCGCTTTACAAACGATATTCAATTCAAAAATGAGTGTGTGTGCGTGTAACAGCATGCGTAGCCACAATTAGACGGGTATGTGTCGCCTCTTTTTACCGTTTGCCCTCCCCATGTGTGTGCGTTGGTATTTTTGCGATGTTGCTTTTATCGGGAGTTTTGCTTTTCGCTGGAATTTCGTATCATTTCCGCGAATTTGACGTACTTTTATGCGCTAGCCCAGTAGCACTATAAAGCGTTAACGCTGCTCGTTTAAGGGGTACCCCATAAATTAAAAACAATTGCCAAGTGGCTCGGTATAATGTGTTTTTAGCAGTTTCACAGCTGCAGCCAGTCCACCTACACCTACACCCATATACGCCGTATATGCTCTCGTAATGACGTTGTATCAGGGCTAGTCATGCAGCGTAATCGGTTGACACGGTCAAAGCGACTGACAGAGAGACAGAGACGACTGCCAGACGGACTCTGTGGCGCCGTTGGCCGCACCTTGGACTTTATTCGTGTATTATACGAACGGTACGCGGGTGAGGCTGTACCAGCACAAGTGTTTGCTTGTGCAAGTGTGTGTGGGTGGGTGGGTGCATGTGTGCTCACCCATCAGTCTCTCAGTCAGTCATTCTGTCAATTGAGAAGCTCGCTCTGATGACGTCGCGGGCTCGGCCTCGGTCTCGGGCTCGCGCTGCTGGCTGGGTGGCCGGAGAGCAGCGTGTGCTTAATATTTGCTGGCACTGCTTGCAACTGCACTCATTTCATGCCTGATAAAATGCCTGATATTTCATTCGTATTGCACTTTGGCACTGCCTTTGGTGTCCGCCTGACTATATGAAACTGCATGCGAATGCAAACAAAGTACATAGTATATGCATATGTATGAATAAAACTGAACAACCCGAACAACACTTCACGCTTTCAACACACACACTCACATACACACAGACATTTGTAAAATAAACTAAAAGCAAAAACAACAATGTCAGCAAATGTTAAACAAAAATTCGTGATAACAAAATGCCATTTAAATATTAGTTTTCATTTTATTTTCTGCTGCTGTAGCAAATGAATTAAGGCAGCGTACGAACACCATTCCATTGAAGTAAGCCACCCAGCGTACCCAGCTACTACTACAGGGTATGCCCCATAATTGTTTGGGTTTCTACAGCTGATTACAGCTTATCGCCTGCTGGTTGGGTGATTAAGTCCTATCGTAGCGCGTAGGCTTTGGCCTCTTGTTTATGCTTTTATAGAGCCTCAAATCTGAGCTTTGTCTACGGCACAGTGGAACACTTTATGGGGGTTTTACTACGCTGGAACAACGCGGAATAGAATAGCAGGGTACAGGCGCTCAAAAAATATTCTCGTTTGCTAGAAAACTCTCTGAACTGTACTTACATGCACTTTGCACGTTTCTATTTACATTTACAACTTAAAACGTGTTTCTCGCTCTCTCAGAAATTCCATGTAATCATTTAACTAGATCGGATTCAGTATACTAAATAAACATTTTAATTGTGTCGCATTTGGCGCCTTGTAATTGACCCACTGAGGCTGCCCACACAGATGCTTTCAGCTCATTGCTCACTACTATAAATACATACATGCATACGAGTACTCCTTTATGTGGTGCCATTACCCGTTATTATGCAATCAGGCAATCAAGATTTCAATTTTGAGAGCCTAATCCCTGTCGAATGGCACTTAGAATGGCTCAATTGTCCGACCGGGATAGTTGATAGTTGACGTCAAAGCGTCTGTGCTTTAAATCACTCAAATTACAGTGGGGACCACTTATCGGTGGGTGGGCCTACAAACTCTGAGTCAGTCACACACACACGATAGTTAATTGTACCCACTGATAACATGATGGACGATAATAAAACACGAATATATCTACACACACAAACACACACATACACACGCGCGTATCTTTATATAGAGCTTGGCATTATCAATGGAATTTTTTTAGGCGATTCTCTAGTCGAAAGCCCTATAAACGCTGATAACGAATTGAGTAAACACGCGAGCGAGCCGAGAGACTTGAATCGGTTAGACATATGTATACGTATCGCATAATGCCGTATAATGTGTATAATAATAGCGTTAAATGTTAAAAAGTCGCCATCGCCATTCGCAGTCGCATTCGCAGTCGAGTGTCAATTAACGCCGCCAGCCGCAACGTCGGTTGCGGAGTGCCCGAGTGGGGGTTTCTGTGTGATTGTGATTTGAGAGCTGGCCCTGCCCCTGCCTCTACTAATCATTCGACAAGCGCCAATCATATACAATTTATATAGAACAGATGCGTTTAGGAGCCATCAGTCGATGCCGTCTTTTCTTTGTTCGTCGTAAACTCTCCATCATGGAAATTCTCATGTAAATCCCTTAGAAGTATAAATTTACTTGGATTTTCTTACAAATGTTTACTTTCGAATCGTACTGTACGGCGCGGGGCCACTGATAAGGCGGTGCCCCAACAATAACAGCAGCAACAAAAAGTCATTACATTTCACTTGTCATCTCTTTTGGATTTTCGTACCGTTTTTCTGTGTCGTTTCGATTCGTTTCGTTTCGGTTGCCTGTCGTCTGCCTCGTGTCTGCTCGTGTTTGTGTATGGGTATGCCGACGATATGGATGTGTGTGTGTGTGTGTGCAACAGGTGGGGCCTTAACAGAGTCACATTTTGATGTTGATTGGTGGGTGGGGGTGTACGGTTTTCGGTTTGGATTGAAATAGAAAGTTGATGAAAAGAAAAATCAAAATTGATTTTCGGACATTGTGCGATGGCAGTTCGAGTATTAAGTGGGAAATTCACTAGCAAAATTAGCATTCTGCTGCGTCCTCAATGTTGTGATAAGATTGTGATCCACAATTAAAAGGGGGTTGATAATGAATGTGTGGCGAAGGGGGATCGCAGAAAAGTTCGCAATTCTCTTGGTGGAAGTTAATCGATTTGAGAGTCGCCGCCGTGTTTGATCTCCTGCCCTCATATTAATTTTTGTATCAAAATTAGCATTAGTATATTTATTAAATTATGATTTTACTAACCGAAATACGAATTTCTTGTCTCTTCTTTACCTTTTAGATGAGTCCGCTGCCAATTCCTCGCAGGTTAATAATACATTTGATGATAATATGGAAAATGCAAGCACCACAACGGCGGGAAAGCATTACAAGACGACGGGAAAACAGTACAAGACAAACAACAGTAAGGTGAACAATAATACGCGACGTGCCACAGCAGCGGCGGCGGCAGCAGCAGCAGCAGCAGCAGCAGCGGCGGCGTCGGCAGCCACAATCACACCAGCAACAAAGAAGCAAACATATCGGGAAGCTGCCACAACAGCAACATCAGCAGCAGCACCACCACAGAAGACAAACAGTAAAGCTAGCAGAGCAGCAGCAGCAGCGGCAGCAGCAGCAGCAGCAGCCGCAACTGCAGCAATCGATGTTGCAGGCGGCAAACCCAGTACAAGCAGCACGAGAGATAAGCCGAGCGAAGACCACAGCAGTAACAGTGGCCACAAAAACAACAACAACCACCACCAACACCACAGTGATAATAGTATTAATGAGAATAATTATGAGTTTAAGAATAGAGATAAAGATAAAGCAAATGTAAGTGATAGAAGCTACACAATGACGCTACAGCCAATGTCTACGGCAGTCGGCCACAAGGAGTCGCCACTGGCAGCCACAACTGGCACTGGCACACCCGCCAGTAGCAGCAGCAGTAGCAGCACCAACGCAGCCACCAGCGACGAGGCTGCGGCTGTAGCCATTGCAGATTGGCCAAATATCTCTCGCTATTTGCACAAGAAGTTCAAGCGGCTGGCGAGCACCACAGAAGTGGAGGGTGGTGGCAGTGGCAGTGGCAGTGGCAGCCATACTGCAGCCGGGGATGCCGGTCGCACCACATCGCTATCCTCAAATAGCTCACTTTCACCGCCGCCGCAGCCAGCGGTGTCGGTCCCAGTGGCAGTGCCAGTGGCGGTGTCGGTGGCTGTGGCCAACGGTCATCATTTGACCCAACAACAGCAGACGACGACGACGAGTGAATTCAGTGCCAATTTTGTAAATAGCAATCATGTCAATGCCATCAGCCATGAGGAGAGCAGCAGCAACAACCACAGTGGGAGCGGCAGCGGGAAGATGACCAACAATGTGAGCGTGCCCAGAACCCGTACACCGTTGAGCAACAGCCACAGCAGCAACTATGCGGCCAATGCCACACTAACGCCTGCAACATTTGCCCAGCATCAGCAACAGACGCAACCAACAGCAGGAGGAGCAGCAGCAGCAGCTGGAGGTGCAGCAGTTGGATTAACCGCTGAGAAATCTGGCAGATATGTGTGCCCGTATTGCAATTTGATTTGTGCCAAGCCATCGGTGCTGGAGAAGCACATACGTGCGCACACCAACGAGCGTCCCTATCCCTGCGACACCTGCGGCATCGCCTTCAAGACGAAGAGCAACCTGTACAAACACTGCCGCTCCCGGTCGCATGCGGCACGAGTGCGCGGCCTGGAGGTGCCCGCAGATGCGGACGATGGCCTGTCCGACCAGGATGCAGACCTGAGCAACAGTAGCTCCGAATTGGTAAGCAATTGAATCAACTAATCCTCGGGGAACTTCCACTCAATGCATCTTTCCTCTCTTTGTGTTTCTGCAGCCAAGTCGGTCGGGTTCGCCGTACGACGAGCCCATGGCCTCGCCCACACCATCGCCATCCACATTGTCAGCAGCGAAGAGCGCCTACATTCAGCACCAGCCAACGCTGCCGCAGCACATGCAACAACTGCCGCTAGGGTCACCGGCGGCGGGTACTCTGCCACCTGCCACCGCGGATACCCTACACTCGGCCACGGCCCAGCATCGTCAGTCCATTGACTACAAGCCATACAAGCCCAAGTTCCACAATGCAGCTCTATATGTGCCACCCGGCGGCACCAAGGAGTTGCAGTTGCAACAACAACAGCAGCAGCAGCAGCATCTTGCCCAGCAGCAGCAGCAGCATCAGCAGAAGCTTTCCATTCAGCTACCTCTGGTACAGCAGCAACAGCCAGCGCTGACCCATCCCACACTGTCGCCCAGCACACAGATGAAGCTGAACAATCACATCACCTCGCACAAGATGCAACTGCAGCTGCAGCAGCAGCTACACGCCCAGCAGTCCCTGCTGATGGCTGCCAATCCTGGGGCATTGCCACCGGGCGCAGGTGTCTACTATTTGGGTCAGCCATCGTATTACAATCAGGATGCGGCAGCAGCGGCCGCGGCCATGCAGCAGCAGGCTATGGTGTTTCAGCAATTGCAAATGCAACAGATTCATCTGCACCAGCAGCAGCAACAACAACAGCAGCAACAACAACAGCAACATTCTCAGCTGGTGAAGGTTCCTCTGCCATCGATGCAACAGCAACAGCAGCACCCACCGAATATTCCTCCGCCACAGGTGAGTAATGCGAGAGAATCCATCCCACATGAGAGTCCTTAATCCAAATTTGAACTCTTTTTGCTGTCAGTTGGTGCGTGCCAATAGCCAGGCATCGATTGTGATGCCAGCAGGTGGAGCAACCGGAGGAGCAGCATCAGGAACACAAATGACCACGCCAGCCACCAATTTGAGCAGCTTTGCCAGTGCCAGTGGCAGCATGCAAGTGGTAAGAACATTGAGTGGTAGCAGCACAAGAAATGGCCATTAATTCATTTAATTTTTGCAGAATGTGGAAAAGGTGCAGGAGCACATTTCAAAGTTGATTTCGCAGAACGAGGCGATTGTGGAGAACAAGGAGATTCTGCTGCAGAAGAAGTATCCAAAGCAGCTTAATCGTTCGCGCAGCTTCAACAATGCCAATGCGAATGCCAACAATGCAGCAGTCAACAGCAATAATCCTCAGATGTTGGCCATCGGTGCCAGCGAACGAGAGACTAAGGTGAATCTGGCCCAGGCAATAGTACAGAAACAGCAGCAGCAACAGATACAGCAGCAGCAGCAGCAACAGATACAGCAACAGCAACAACAGCAGCAGCAACACTATCAAATGTTCATGCAACAACAGGCGCAGCAGCATCAACAGCAACAACAACAACCGCTGGAACCGCCAAATGGTGTGGTGAAACGGAACAGCTATAGCTACAAGCCAGCACCGGCCATGCCTACAGTCAGTACCAAGCAGCAACAGCAGCAGCACCAACAGCAACAACAATTGCCACCGCCTCCCTCACCGCTGCCGGTGCAGACGCTACAGTATCGACAGGATCCGGCCACGGCAGTGCCCAAAATGGAGCAGCCAGCGGCCGCTGTAAATGCCATGCCATTGAATCTGTCTGCCAAGCCAAAGCAGACCATTACCATGCCCACAGCCACAGCCTCGCGCACGCCTACGCCCGTCGGGAACACTCCCTCGACGAGTGCAGCAGCAGCAGCAGCAGCAACAGGAGGTGGAGGGAGTGCTACAAAGACTGCCACAATTGCTGCACCCCAAACGCCAAGCAATTCAATCATCAAGAATCTTCTGCTGAATGCCCGTGGACTGGCCGTGCCCATTGGCGAGGGCGACGATGCCTTCTACTCGTGCCCCATCTGTGCCAGTGAATTCCGCAGCGCGGACGAACTGAAGCTGCACAACAGCACCTACTGCCAGGACGCCAGCTCCAGTGCACCGATGAGTCCGGCCTCGTCCCCGAGCTCCAAGTACTTTCGTTCCAATTCGATCTCGATGAGCCTGCCAGAGCTCAAGTGTCACATGGCCAACTCCAAGAATCCGCTGTCGCTGGCCAAGCTCGCCTGGTCGCAGCTGAAGACGAAGCCCAGCAGTCTGGTGCTGAGTCGCCTCAGTGCCTCACAATCACCCGCACGAACATCGACGGTCACGGCACCAACGGCAGCTGCGCCTGTTCAAGTCCAGGTGCAGATTCCCGTGCAGCAGGTACCCGTCCACGCGCCTGTCTCTGTGCCCGTGGAGGCGATGCGTTTCGTGGACGCTCCACTGCCATCGCCTGGTCCATTGCTTGGAAAGACAGCTCTGGTTGATTTCGCCCAGCAGAATGCACCCCGCAAGGCACACGATTCGGTGGTGATTACCAAAATGCACGAGGATCGTCAGTTCTCAATGGACATGGACGCTGCTGCTGCTGCGGCTGCACAGCCGCCTGCACCGCCAGCGAAGCGTGCAAAGACCAGCGACACGCCGACGTTCAACTTTTTTGGCAATCACAATCACAACCACAGCCACAACATGAGCATTATGCAGGAGCTGCAGCAGCAGTCCAGCAGCAAGGAGGACCGCCTGCGCAGACTCACCTCCTCCGGCGGCACCATGATACCCATATCGGAGTGCCCCGAACTGGACAACAGCCCCAGGATGATACGCACTCCGTTGCTGTCGGGTGGCAGCTTCCAGGACGTCTCGCCCAAGAACCAGGAGTCGTCGGCCAGCAAGGAACGCAAGCTGCTGGCCGCTGGCCTCGGTGTCCACCCGATGCTCGGTGTCAGCAGTGCCCAAGGGCCACAGCATTTCCAATTTCCGCCCATCAACTCGATAACAGCCTTCAACCCACTCACTCTGCCGATGAGCGGCGGCGGCGGAGGCGCTGGGGATAAAACGGCACCCGTCACGCCCATTCCGTATGTGCCGGGTATTCCGGGTCCCGGCAGCCTGACGCCACAGATGTCCCTGCTGCCGCCTCCACCGCAGCAGCTGCAGCTGCCGCTAGCTCCCGCCAGTCGTGGCCGCAGTCCCAATCGGAAGCAGCCGAGTCCGCTGCTGCTGTTGGGAGGAGCAGTGGGAGCCGCAGCAGAGTCCCTCAAGTCGCTGTCGCCCTTCGGTGGCGTTCAGAATCTCCCAAGTGAGTTCAGCCGCCAGCCGCCGACGCCTGCACAGAGGAACGCCCTGCAGTGGAACAGCAGCAGCAAGGAGACGCCCAAGAAGGCGCCCTTCAACTTTCTGCGAATGGCGGACAATGTGAAGGCATCGGAGCCGGAGGTGCGGCACTTTAACCTGGACACCGTGATCGCTGCCAAGCAGCCGCCACAGGAGGCGGCACCCTTGACGCCACTGCACGTGGATACGCCCAATGGGAGTGCAGGAGGAGTCGTCGCTGCAGCTGGAGCTGGAGAGGAAGCGTTATCCGCTGCCAAATCAAAGTTTCTGCGCCCCACGAGTCTGCCCCTGAAGCCGGGCACCTTCACACCGAAGCGGCATCATGGCATCACTCCAACAGCCAACACCCTGCCGCTGATCTCACCCGAAACACCGCGTCCGTCCAAGTCGTGCGTGCAGCTGTATCTGAATGGCCATGCCTACACCTACTTGGGGCTGAAGTGCAGCACCAAAATGTTCTACTGCACCGTGAACTGCCCGCAGCCGTCGTATGTGGCGGGCATGCACAAGCTGTCGATGTACAGCGTGTGGCAGGTGTGCGAGGAGAATCAGCCGCATCCGCTCGGATTCAAGCTCAAGCAGGTGATGGCCCTGTATGACTCGCGCCAGAAGATGTTCGGCAATGGCACTTGCACCTCAATGGCTGGCACGGGCACTGGCACAGGCACTGGCACAGGGAAGATGCTCAAGTACAAGCTGGTAAACTCGCAGCAGACAATCTGTTCGGTTTCCACAATGTCCAGCAGTGCACTCAATCAGAACCCGCTCGCACCACTTCCCGTGGTGGCCGTGGGAGCACTCAGCGAGGCGAATGTCGCAGCCAAGGCCTGTGAGGAGGCGGCCGAGGACAAGAAGATGGAGGTGAGTCCCTCCGGACAGCCCCTGGTGGGCGGTTATGAGTCGCACGAGGACTACACCTACATCCGGGGACGTGGACGCGGTCGCTATGTGTGCTCCGAGTGCGGCATCCGCTGCAAGAAGCCATCGATGCTGAAGAAGCACATACGCACCCACACGGACGTGCGCCCCTTCACCTGCAGCCACTGCAACTTCAGGTGAGTCTTTCTCTTTGTGTTTGCCATTCGACAGAGTCTAACTGTGATCCCCAACAGCTTCAAGACCAAGGGGAATCTCACCAAGCACATGCAGTCGAAGACGCACTTCAAGAAGTGCATCGAACTGGGCATCAATCCCGGTCCCATGCCCGCCGATGGCGAGTTCCTCGACGTGGACATGGACTTTGATCAGCAGTCATCGACCTCTGCAGGCGGACGCACCTCCTCGATGGCCGATGGTGAATCAGATTCGGATGATTTCAGTGACATTGAATCCGAAAGCAGTGGTAAGTGCACAACGGAATCCTTTTCCTTTGTGTTGAGTCTCATCTTGAATCTTTGATCTTTTGGCAGACACCGACGAATCCAAGTCGCGACTGAAGGAGCATGAGGCCGCTCGCTGCCTGCTGTCGCTGTCGATGACCCCGCCCATACCACAGAGCGTTTCGCCATATCCCCAGCTGCAGGAGACACCGGCACCGTCTGGCAGTCCGGCCAACAGCATCGGCTCGTCGGGATCTTCGCAGCCGAAGCCCCGCGGTGTGGTTTGCTCCTTTACATCGCCAAAGCCGCCGTTCGACTACCAGAAGCAGGAACAGTATTACTCGAACCCCGAGGAGTCCAAGCCCAAGCGGAGCGTGGCCAGCGAGGAGAGTGCGCCCATGGATCTCACCAAGCCACGCACATCCCTGGCTGCCGGCTCCGTCTCTCCCTCCCCGATGGCACTGGCCCTGGCACAGGACTTGCCCAAATCGCAGGCCCAGCAGATGCATGATGTGATCTTTGGCAGCTCCAACAGCAATGGCAGCGGCTTCATGAAGACCCTCATTTCGGTGTCGGACAAGGTGCGCATCTCTGCCGAGCTGAAGGAGGAGGAGGAGCAGGCCAAGCACGAGGCGGCCGAGGGCGAAGATGTGCTGATGCAGACCTACCGCAAGGAGCATGCCCTCCAGCATGCCAAGATGAAGCAGAGCCAATTCAGTCGCAGCTACCTGATCAGCACGCTCTTCTCCAGCGCCAGCAGCACCGCCATGACCACCAGCACTAGCAGCAGCAGCAGCAGCAACAGCAACAGTCTCCTGTCCGTCAGCAGCAGGCCCATCATGAGCATCAATGAGGTGCCCAGTATCGAGGTGCACGAGGTGAAGACGCCCGAGGCGATCGAGGTTTCGCTTCCATCGACATCCAATGCCGACGCGGCTGCGATTAGCGTTGCACCTTTGAAGGCAACGGCCAACGATGAGAGCGAGGAGAGTGAGGCGCAGTCGGATCAGGAGAAGGCAAGCGAACCGGCGCATAATGCGAATCTGCCTGCTGCAGTGCAGCAGCCGGATGCCACAGACTTTAGCGGTGTCCTGGGTACATCACCACCAACATCCACGGCTCCAGTGGCAGCATCAACGCCTGTCACATCCGCTTCAACTGCCACTCCATCTGCCACCCCAGTTGCATCCACAGCATCCTCGCAGCAGCAGCAACAGAAACAACAGCAGCAGCCGCCTACCCGCACTGTCATCGTGGGCGAAGATGGCTTCAAAAGCGCCTCCGCAAGCAGCAAGAACAACAACAACAACAATAATAATAATACTAGCAGCAACAACAATAACAACAACAACGAACTGCAGCCTGGAGCTGTGTCTACATATCCGAGGGGCGTGCCACCGCCGCCACCCACTGCCGGCGATGCGAGGCCCACGTGCTCGATCTGCTCGAAGACGTTCCAGCGCCAGCACCAGCTGACGCTGCACATGAACATCCATTACATGGAGCGGAAGTTCAAGTGCGAGCCCTGCGGCATCTCCTTTCGCACCCAGGGCCACCTGCAGAAGCACGAACGCTCCGAGGCGCACAAGAATAAGGTGATGATGACGTCGACATTTGGGGTGCCGACCACCTCCAATCCGCGGCCATTCGAGTGCACGGACTGCAAGATCGCCTTCCGCATCCACGGCCACCTGGCCAAGCATCTGCGCTCCAAGACGCACGTCCAGAAGCTGGAGTGCCTGCAGAAGCTGCCGTTCGGCACCTACGCGGAGATCGAGCGCGCCGGCATTAGCCTCACTGAGATCGACACCAGCGACTGCGAGAACTCGCTCATCTCCCTAAAGCTGCTCGCCCAGAAGCTGCTGGAGAAGGATCCCAATAAGCTGAGCGGCTACACCACGCCCTCGGGCATGATGCAGCTGGCCCAGGATACGCCCACCTCGCAGGACAGCGCCTCTGAGGATGGGTTTAGTGCGGCCATCGCCTCGGCCATTGCCAGGCTGGACAATGACAGTGATGGCAACACGCCGAAGCGTGCCAGCTCCATGTCCGAAGATGAGACCGTGGCCAATGGGCTCACCCACAATCTGAAGCGTCGCCTGCCCGGCAGCTTCAGCAGCACAGGCGGCGAGGAGAGCGACAACCCAACGGAGGGCACCACCACCACCGCCACAAGCTCCAACGAGAAGCGGGCCCGACCATCCCAGGATGCTGCTCTGCCTCTGCCTCTGCCCCTGCCCGTAGCCGTTGCCGTGCCAGTGCCAGTGCCAGTGGTCGCCTCGGCAGCGGCCAGCAACTGACAGTACATGTACATGCTGCAGCCCACCTGAGTGTGGGCCAACACTGCAGCGGCACCCAAGCTGTATCGACACTACCAGGGATACCAAATGCCCACCATCGCCAGCACCGAAATCCGTTCACAGTTCCCCTGCAATTCCGGAAGCGATCATGGAATTGGGGTTGGGGGCAGCCATGACCAAACCTCCTCCAACGAGCGCATATCAAATGTCTAAGCATATCGCATTTGGGCACACAACACTTACTCTAGCATTAGCTTCTAAGAGACCTCCTTCCACGCCACACCACCACACCCACCCGCACCACACTTGCAGTTGTACCGAAACTGGGGATCGATTAGCGATTCACCCGATCAATTTGTGGGAGTTTTGTGTGAGATTTCCTCTGGGCAGACCCGAAACGGATCGATTCGCCTCTTAAGTATCTAGTTTAACGAATCGCGTCATCAAGTTTGATCTAAAATATAGATATATAAATGAATATATACGTGTATGTAGGACATAGGCTTTTGAAACGTTGTTCAACTCATATAAAGTATATTCGTATTTGAATACTGTGTATACACCCAGGTACCATGTACGCTAGCCCTAGTTATAAGCTATGGATGTTTGTATATCCTGCAAGCACATAGGATACAGTAGGCAGATTATTATATTCATCGATTTGTAGCTTATATTTTCGAAGATGCATAAATGCAATGCATGAAACTCCCTGAAGTGCTGTGAGTCTATCTACAGAAAGGTAACAAGAGAAGAGAGAGCGAGATGTATTTAATTTATAAGGCCTAGCCAGCCCAAGCCCCAGCCCCAGCCCCAGCCCCATCCCCTATGAAAGATGTTTTCCAATACCCAAATCGAAATTCTCTGCAAATCACGCAGTTCTTCCTTATTTGAAATTGTTAATCATACACCAACGAAATAAGAGAAATGATAAATTTAGAATATTTATATCTTTAGTTTTGTTTCTAATTTTGTAAAGCAACGAGACCACGAGACTCTTTAATTGTTTGTTTTTTTTATAAATTACTTGTATTGGTGTGCCGAAGAGTAACGGAATAGAGAGCGAGCGATAGAGAGAGAGAGTGAACGGAGGGTGAGGACTAAGATGTATAATTCTAGTTGTAAATAATCATTATGTTGTCATATATGCTATAAGTTTGTAGGTTAGTCAAACGCAAACTACACAAAATTTTGATAGAGATAAATGAAAATTATTGTACAAAAAACTGCTAATCAGCGCAAGAGCTATAGCAACATACATAGATATATCTATATAGTATATATTTGAGTGTGTATGAATGTGGTTATAAAAACAAGAAAATGAAGTGATCTATTACATTATTGTAAAATATATCAAAAAAAACTGAACGAAAAACAGAAAAAAAAAACAAAACAAAACCAACCAACTTGAAAACTTATACAAAAAAAATGACAAAAATAAAGAAATCAATGTGAAAATATATCAAATATACAATTATTTCGTTGCTGGATCGTCTTAGAAGCGCGTTTGGAAGTACATGTATTCCTGGAAAGGCAAAACAGATGAGCGGAGGATCGTTTGCGATATGTTGTATGCATCTTACCAGCAGAAAGGCTGAGCCTAATATCAAAGCACGCTCCTTGGCCGTCAGTTTGGCATCGCTGTAGTAGATATTTGTGGTGTACTGGGACTTGCTGGCCATCCACTTGTGATCGATGGAGGCCCTTAGGTTACCACCCGAATGTACCTTCATGTGGAACAAAGTTTGTTAGTTAATGCAGTGAGGCTAGCGAGTATTCGTGTACCTTAAAGTAGCACTCTTTGGGCAGGCAGAAGCAGCAGAAACCGGAATTCGCTGGACCCTCCACACAGAAGACGGGCTGGCCCGTGTTGCCATCCTCGATGAAGAACTCGGGCTGCATAAACGTGGGTGACTGCACCACCCGTCCGAGTACATTGCCCGGCGGTATCCAGATCTCCAGACTCTTTGCCTGGCAGCACATCGAACCGAGGGCGAATTTCTTGCGGAACACCAGAGCCTCCTGGTGTGTCTTGTCCAGCAGGTGCATCTGGAAGGGTCGCCCGGCGCCCCAAAGAAGACGATTGTTCTCCGTGGAGCTTTCGCTGGCGGCAAAGACAGCATCGCCCAGGGGTGATCGCACCACATAGCGATTCTCCGAGGAGACGGCTGTCAGGGCTGCAAGGAAAATTAATTAATTGGATATCTGATGTGAAGAATATGTTTATGTGGACACAACATACACTCATTCAACTCGAATGTCTGTTCAATGTGGACCGAGGGCAAGTCTGCTAGGCAATCGTAGCCGGAGAGGGGCATAAACGTTCGACTGCCAGTCACAGTGGGCAATGGTATCCTGGGAGCCTCTGAGCCGGGTCTTGGCTGTGAGGTAATGCTTATATGAGAATCATAAACTGAAAATAAACAAAGGCAGCATTAATTAATATACATCTTTGAGTAGGTGTATGACTGTTTGCCGATCACTTGGTCAATATCGCAGTCTGATTGGAAACAAAGGCACTCGGGTGAGTTAGCACTGGCACTCCGTTCTCCAGGCCATAATGATACCACAACAAAACTTTTACTGATAAGATATAGCTAATTTTATGTCGCATATTTCTTGGAACACTACCACAACACGGCACACACACACACACCTCAGGCCATGTAAGCCCAACAACAATTAATCCAAATGCAGCGGCGTGCGAACACAGGCGCAAAACCACTTATCAGTTTGGTTAGTAAAAATTTACCAATGTCCATGGTGATTCATATTTTGGTTGGTATTTGTTGGTGTCTCTTTCACTTACCCCTTGGTTCCGTGGGACTTTGCTGCTGTGCCACTCGTATTTCGCTGTCATATTGCAGTGTCCGCACCGCATCGTTTTGCAGCATTGTAAATGCAGTTTTCAAATTAATTCGGAACACGACACGAGCCTCAACGGCCAAAATGCGCAACGATAACTTACCGTGACCTGTGTGGCCGTATTTGTATATTTCAAATATCGATAGATCGCAGCAATACCATTGAATACATACATCGTGCATATCGATAGAGTTAACCAACAATCGAGCCGAACACCTGGTGACCATAAATAAATATTAATCTTTCAATTGTTAGTGCAATTTGCCGTAGAATTTAGTCACAGTGTTTGCCACAAGTGAATTGCTCAATGACGTCGAAACGTGCAGAAGGTGAGTGTGCAAAATATTTGTTGTGGTCAGTGTCATTGCCAGTGGTGGCACTTTAGCAGTTTCCTGTTGTTGTAATAAAAGTGCTGGTCAGTTGTTGTCAAAAAAAACGGGAACACTTTCTGCTGGAAAGTTTGTTTGTGGCTTGGGGGTGGCGTCCATTGCGCAGCCGCTGGAGTGGCATAAACAAATGCCTTCACCTTCGCCTTCACACTCTCGACGAGCAGCAGCAGCTGCCATCGTTCCGGAGCAGAGCTCAAATAGCGCCAGTGTACTCTGGGCCATCGCAATTGCCTGGCCGAAGCCGTAACGACGCGAAATTCTAACGCGGGGCAAACAATAAGAACGGGCAGATAAGCAACTAGGCATAGTGCAATAATCAATAAACGTGCTACTCAAACAACGCTTCCCACAATATAAGTATTATATGGCTTGATTAGATCTCAGTTGATTGTGAAATTCCTGCTAAAAAAGAGAGTAGCTTTCTTGTTGCTTTTTTTTCTATGTAACGGTCTCGTACAGGCGCCCCCAGAAACGAATACTCGTATATTTTCCAACTTGCAGTTTCCCCCAAATTTTGGGGGTGGTTTTCCCGCAGTGTGCCCTCAGTGTTTGTGCGCGTCCGTGGAGCAGCGCAAAAGAGGAAGAAAAATCCATGAATACAAGAGTCGAGTGCGCTAACCGTTCGTTACACTCGTTCTCGTACGTGAAAAATAACCGTTGTTACCCTTGCCGCAACCGCAAATTTCCATTTAGCCAAGGAACGTGAAAATGTCTCTGGAGGATCCGTTTTTCGTAGTCAAGGAGTAGGTGGCGTTGCTTGGTTTATTGCGAATGCAATTTCTTCGTCAGCCCCCACTCTTACCGCATCTTCAACTCACTCTCTCTTTTCCCTCTTTCTCTCTGCAGCGAGGTATTCAAAGCTCTGAACAAAACACGAGGCCTTTACCTGCGTTGGCGCGAGCTGGGGGAAGACGGCGGAGCGGAGGTTGAATGGACCACCACCGAGCTGCGTAACTCGCTGAGGAGCATCGAATGGGATCTCGAGGACCTCGAAGACACTATCAATATCCTTTTCCTAAACTGCATTGCAGCAAATGTGATTGTGTGGGGAGATAACGACCAACGACGACGTTGCGTTGCCTCGCATTTGTGAAAAATCAATTCGTTTTGCCTAACCTTTCTGTTTTAGCTCACACAACTTTGCATTTTTCATGAGGTTTTTCTTAACCCTGGGAAACCGACTAGCACGCATTGTCGAAAAGAATCCGACCAAGTTTCGGATCGACAACCGCGAACTCTCCAGTCGGCGCCACTTCATCGACAACACCCGCGATGAGGTCAAGCAGATGAAGGATAAGATGAGCCTGAACCGGAACAGGGACAGAGACATAACCGCACATCAGCCGCTCCTCGACAACGATCGCAACAACCCCAATCAGAATCAACCAAATCCTCACAGCATCTCTAGTTCCAATACCAACACCAACTCAAACGAGTACCATCTCCATCCGCACAACGATCGCACTTACTTGGTGGAGTGCCCCAGCGCCTTGAACGGCAACTCATTAATCAACAGCGGCAGTCAGGCGGTGGCCAATACCATCGCCGGCACCATGTCAGCAGCGGCAGCAGCTGCCTCCCGCCACAGCGGCACCAAGTACTCGAAGCTGGAGAACGCCCTGGACAGTCCCAGTCACTATGGGCAGCCGCATCAAGCCAGCAGCCTGGACAGTCCCGGTCACAGGTATGTGGGCGAGACGGTGTCCATACAGCAGCGCATGATCCAGGGCCAGGACGAGCAGCTCGACATGATCAGTGATTCCATTGGCACCCTGAAGACAGTGTCGAGGCAGATCGGCGTCGAATTGGATGAGCAGGCTGTGATGTTGGATGACTTTGGGAACGAATTCGACACAACCGAGTCCAAGCTGGACACGACCATGAAGAAGGTTGCCAAAGTGTTGCACATGAATAATGGTGAGCAATATTAACCAGAAATACTTCAAATATTCAACTTAATAATTCCTTCTTGCAGATAAACGTCAGTGGGCTGCCATTCTAATCCTAACCGGGCTGTTATTGTTTGTGATAATTCTATTTATTATTTTGTAATTTTGTTTCGTTTGTTTCCAAGTCACTTATTCTTTATTGTATTTAGTGTAAATTAGTTTTATTAGTTAATGCTTTGGGTAGACTTTTGAGAGTAAACTTTATATTTTATATTCAAACAAACTATCAGCAGAATCCAAGTAAACTCCCTTGCTGTACATACACGTATCACTTTCAAATCAAAGTGTACATGCCTCCACATACAAATATATATCTATTTAACATGCAAATAGTATACTGAATACTGTATTCTTGTGCGTATCCAAAGTTAAAGACAAAGACCGAACCGAACGATGATCATGTAATAAAAAATAACTCTGTATACATACGATATATACATATATACGAATTAAACAAGAATTTCCTGTATGTAATTTCCCCGATTTGGACACAGGAACCTGTACATACATCGAAGAATATATCGTATATACACACCACACACAAACATACATATATCAAGTGAGTTATTTAACGAAGAGAGTTTTAGCCAATTCCACTAACTTAGCAAAACTTGTATGCAGTTGACTAAATATATATATCTATATATAAATCATTCAAAACCAAACCTAAACACTTTCTAATGGCGCCAAGTGTACAAAGCACAATTGCATCCATAGCTGGCCAAGGGGTCCATCCATCCATCATAATACTTTTTCATTCTCAAACTCCCCACCCAACGAAAATAAACTCAACATCTTACCTGCCCATCTGCCTACCTCAGCCAGTCAGCTGTTTCACTCAAAGCTCTTCGTGAGCTTTAAGTCTTCGCAGCTCGTGCAGAGACGTCGGCAGTAATCTAACGGGGACAGCCAGACGAACGCGTCCCCCATTCGGAACACCACAGCGCCAGTGGGCAGCACAGCATAAGCATGGCCAAAGAAGCACGTTTCCATATGCTTTTTGCTCTTCGGCATTCAGTTTTGTTTGTGAGCCCGCCGCCACAGCAGCCGCTTCAAGCCGAATTTTTCTCTTCGATTTCCAACATACTCGACACAGGAAATCGGACGGGACCCACGCAATCCTCCAGAGTGCAGTCAAAATGTTTGATAGTGAATAATTGTGAATATTCGGGAATTGAGAAACACAAGACACGAGTTTTCGGTGAGTTCTCGGTTGGAGATGAGACAACCAAATACATACATATGTACTTTTCATTAAATATGTATTTCCGCACACATGTTTGTGGGGTGTCAATTGGTGGCTGTATTTTGGTTTGTTGCCGCCTGCCGCACAAAACCTTGAACATTTTTGGCCAAATATAAAATCAATGCATCGCTTTCTCTCTCTCTTTCTCACACACACACACTCTACTCTCTCTTCGCGAGCAGGAAGTGAGTGGCGCTCCCTCGAGGAGTTCCAGAGGTATGCCGCCGCAGTAAAACCCGCTGGTCCGGTTGGGCCACTGGCCACCATCCTCTAGGCAGGCTCCAATGCCTATGCTCACTGGTCCCAGCCTCAGCCCCCTTTTCTCAACACTCCCAATGTGGCGACTATTAATAAATTCATGCAGGCAAAGGCCATACATACATACATTTATAAATATGTACACGAGTACCCCCCTTACTTGTAGCTGAGTGGATTGCTTTTGTTGTTGCTGGGGAGCTTTTTCGAGACTCTTATCAAAGTATGAAATGTCGTTACGTTTGACGCGCGCGCTCTCTCTCTTCAATTTCATAATCGAAATAGAATGGAACTTTTTAATCAAAGTGTTTGTTGTGTGTGTGGCAGTGGCAGTGCAGCAATTTGCAAGCACTTGCAGTTAACCCTATTAAAGGGTACTAAATCACATGTGCATTTACACACTTCTTGATGCGATCTGTAAGGGTATTTAAGGCCTAACTTTACCCTGACCATGGTTTCCATAGCAGCTCAAGCTCAAGTGGCTTCAATTGCACTACAACGGCCGCGAGTATTCAAATGTAAGCAAATATTCTAATAAAACGAACTAACGGTGACTTGGTATGGTTTTCCGTTTGCGTTTTCTGATTGCTTTTACTTCGACGCTTGTACAATTGCCCCACACTCAGATATGCATAAGGTGTGCATTTGCACATTTTGCAGCAATTGGCATATTATAGTATTCTTCCCATTCTTATCTCCCCTTTGATTTGCTTTTGTGCATTCATTCCCAGATTTAGTCACACAGAATGAGCCATGTGGACCGGAGTCTCGATCGGAAGATCGTTGTCATTGGAGCCGGAGCCTCGGGGATTGCGTGTGCCACCAAGCTGCTGGAGTACGGCTTTCAGAATGTGCTCGTCGTGGAGGCTGAGGAGCGTGTGGGCGGACGTATACACACCATACCCTTTGGGGACAATGTGATCGATCTGGGCGCTCAGTGGTGTCACGGCGAGAGGGATAATATTGTGTACGAGCTGACCAGAAGGCAGGAGGAGGAGCTGCTGGAGTCCACCGGTCCCGTCTACGAGAACTATCAGTGTGTGCGTTCCAACCGGGAAGTTGTGCCAGAGAACGTGGCCAGCCGACTGAAGGCGATCGTGGGGGATTCACTGGTGTCGCGGCAGCTGGAGCTGCGCCACTGCAGCGGATCGCTGGGCAGCTACCTGACCAACAAGTTCTATGATACATTGCGGCGTCCGGAGAATGCCGACATCGATGCGGTGGTGGCCAGAGAGTTTTTTGACAACTATCAGAAGTT